CCAGACACCGATATTAGTTTTCGTCTATCTCCTATAGGAAAGGGTGAAGGTCCTATAGAAAAAATCCCTTTAAAAGCGTCCAATTTGACCCACCCTGTACATAATAAAGAAATTTTAGTTAAAATATTTTCTTTACCTTTTTTAAGAGGCCATTTATTTATTGACTTCTGCTTCATTTTCATATTTATATTTTCTTTATGACCAAAATACGGGCCCCTTCGGGACCCGGGCCCCCAAGCGGCCGCTTGTCCCGCTTTATGTATAAACCGGCGCTGTTAAAAATATTGACTCAAAACTGACAACTAAAGAGACAGCTTTATTTATTTGTCAAATTACATAGAAACCAACGCCAACCCAGCACAATATTTTTTCTACTCTTAATAAATTCCTTGAAATAATAATTTCTGAATATTTTTTAAAACGTAACTCGCTATGGAAAAAAATATTGTTTTATACACGACGATAACATTGCATTATCGTAAATACCATTTTATAGTCTTGTATAAAAAATAACTATTTCTCGAATTTAAATTACACCATTTAAAAATCATTTTTACTCAATATAAAAATAAATTACAATCTTCTTAAGTCAAACTAGCAGTAAGCGCTATTATTGACTGTCATTCCCCAGCCATCTCTGACGTCTTTTTTTTTGATCATATGATATAATTAAATATTCTTTGAACAGTATCACCGAAAATATTGCTACTAAAACTAAAGACCCGAAAAACCATTTTTTACGCTACGAAACATTATTTATAAACTTCGTAGGGTGAAAAACAAAGTTAATAGTAAACGACTAATTACTTTATGCACTAATAACGAAGAAACAACTACTCTGTGGGTAATTTTTCGTACAAGATGGCAGCCTGTGTAGCGTGTTAAAACTGATAACGCTGTGTTTTATTATGACAAGAGCAATTATACCGGTTATTATTATTATTATTTACGTGTTTTTGTTTTAATAACAGTCTACAGAGTGTCCCTGAAACTATTCGAGAACCCACTATAGTTTTTTTTCTTTTTTTTATTTCTTTTCTTTTCTACGCCCATAGCATTAGATAAGCTCCGTAGTACAATTTAAAGTATTAAAAATAAATTCTCATCTGGGACTGATGTGCTTACTCTCAAAATATTCTCTGAACTTCAAGAATGCACATTAATCTATCTTACTACTTTAATTAATGAGTCATTCCAAAAAGGAGTTTTTCCAAACTGCCTTAAGACAGCAATAATTATTCCTCTGCATAAAGGAGGAGATAGAGATCAAGCTTCGAACTATCGCCCAATTGCTCTCCTGCCCACATTATCTAAGATCATTGAAAGATTGGTTAAAAAAAGGCTTCTATCTTTTCTCCTTAAATATAAAGTACTTTCTACACATCAATTTGGATTTCTAAGTAACAGTAGCACAAATGATGCTATGTTCGACCTTTTTAATAATGTATACTCTAGCCTGAATAACCATCACTCTACAGCTACAATTTTCTGTGATTTCTCTAAGGCTTTCGACTGTGTAAATCATAATATCTTAATTAACAAATTGCAATACTATGAATTCAGGGGAGTGCCGCTCGAATGGCTTAAGTCGTATCTTGGCAACAGAAGGCAGCTTTGAGGATTGATACGTCTATGTCTTCTTGTAAGCCTATAGAATGTGGTGTCCCTCAGGGTTCAGTACTTGGCCCTATTTTATTTCTGGTGTTTATCAACGACATTGCAAATCTAGACATTAGTGGTAAAATCTGCCTCTTTGCGGACGATACTAGTTTCACTTGGAGCGGCCCAGATGTTACGGCACTATATCATACTATATCCAGTGACTTACGTGACGACACCATTAAATCTTGGTGCGATTCTAATCTCCTATGCCTCAACCTTTCAAAAAGTAAAGTTTTGTCATATAAAAGTATACTATACAACCTTTTGTACTTAATAACACCACTATTGACGTCGTGGACTCGATTCTTAGGACTTGTCGACAACTCGTTAAAATGGGACTTGCACATCGAAGCCTTATCAAAGAAACTAAGCTCTGCCTGTTTTGCGCTAAGATCAGTTTCTAAGGAACTTAACTCATCAACCTCTAGAATGGTCTATTATGCCCTTTTTGAGTCGCATCTTCGTTATGCCCTTCCATTCTGGGGTACTTGCTGCGTGACAAAATTTGATCGTATTTTCAAACTTCCAAAAAGAGCAGTTCGATACTTATTGGGACTAAACAGTAGAACTCACTGCCAAAATTTCTTTAAAAATTTCAAAATACTGACTCTTCCTTCCTTATTCATTTTTGAATCCGTTTGCTTAATCCGCAAGCACATATTCTCTATTCCGGAAAGGCCTTCTCACAACTATCCACTTAGGAATGCGGAGCACGATATTTATCTGCCAACCCCGAGCTCAGAACTAGTTAAGGGCTCAATACTGTACAATGCCAAGAAAATGTACAATCATCTGCCTTCGAATATCAAGTCACTTTCATTCTTTCCCGCATTTCGCAAAGCTCTGAAATCATACTTACTGGAGACTTTTTTGTTGCTGTTTAATCATGAACAATTTTGAATTTTAAAATTTTGATCATCTCACACACTGGTTATTTAACTTGTCTAGTAAATGTCTAGTATTTAATATTTAATATTGATTTTATGATATATAACATGATTTTATCCATTTACAGTTTTCCTTTTGCAAAATTTTCTAGATACGCCTGTGTTCTGCAATGTCCATATATGTTTTATTTGTAATATGACGTAAATTTTTTTGAAATGATTGGTATTGTATGACATTTTTTTTTTATTATTTGTATATTTGTTTTTGTGCTTTTTTGTTTTGTGAATGCTTTGTCGATGAAGCTGTTTTGGTTTTTTGTACAATAAAGCTTGTTTTTTTTTTATTTTGTAGGTAGTTTGTAAAAATGTCCACCGAAACCAGTAAAATTTTGAAAATTTTCTATAAAAAAAAGTTTGGAATCCTCTGTTTTAGATGCAAAAATTCTTATAAAGAACCTCCCAAACACAAAATACAATGAATGCTAGAATGCTACTTACCCTGAATATTTGTAATTATACCAAGATAATTGCAAATAAGTTACTTTGTTACCAATTAACACAAAAAACGATTTTATTGTTAATTGTAGAATTTTATTTGAATAAAAATTTAGGCCAGGCAGTCAGCACGAAACTCGGTATAACAAGGCATATTTTAATACATGCATATTAATTCAATGCCTCAATAAATAATTCAAGAATTTAGATAGTTGACACATAAGTTCGGAGTAGGTTTGCACATTATAACCGATATTTAGCGAATATTTTGAACGTTTGATTAATTTGTTTACTAATATTGGTATTATTAGCTACCAATCAGTGGCGGGCGGTGAAATTTTTATAAGGGGAAGGTGGTTCTCACGAAAAAACACTCCAGGCTGGAGTGAATAAATGAATTTATTTTCTTTTGCAAGAAGTAAGCAAGATAGACAAAAAAGTCAGGAGACAAAAAAATAATATTTTTAATTACTAAATCCAAAAATAATATTAAACTTCTAAAAAAGCTGTGGCGTGCCTATTTTTTCCTTTAAAATAATTTAACAGTGATGCCCCACCGCCGCCCCTGGCCATTAAACTTAAATCTAATTACATCAAATTAAGTCCCATAGTAAGTATTATAAACGGGTCAAGTTATATCAAAATCGATTAAATAGTTTTTCAAATATCTTATTTTTTTTCTTTTTTAAGTAACTTTAACACCCTGTATCTCGAAAAGGAACCTTTAAATCTTACAAGTTGATATGAACTTTTTGTTTTATTTTTGCAAGTTCTATCGTCTTTTAAATTTTCCCGATTAAAATCTGAGACACCCTGTATACCTAACTATACAGGGTGTCTCAGAAATAGTGTCTCAGTGCAAGTATTTTAAGAGGCGGTAGATCTGGTCAAAAGAAACATATTTTCTCTTGTGTCAAGGAAGTTTTTGCTCTAGACTCAATAACAATAAAGATCCTGTAACAGCACATAATTTAAATAATTTTAATATTCTGGGGTAAGTGTTGTGCGACTCAATTTGACCGCATTTTCAAGCTCCAGAAGAGAGCTGTTCGATATTCACTGGGACTAAACAGCAGAACTCATTGCCAGGACTTTTTTAAAAAAATTAAAAATATTACCTCTTCCTTCTTTATTTATATTTGAATCCGTCTGCCTAATACGTAAGCATGTATCAGCTTCTCAAGAAAGGCCATCTCACACTTATCCACTCAGGAACGCGGAGCAAGATCTTTATCTACCTACCCCACGCTCAGAGTTAATACAATTACCTGTCATTTGAAATCAAATCCATAACATCATTTTCTTCATTTCGCAAAGCATTGAAATTTTATTTACTAGATAAGGCTTTCTACGCCGTAAATGACTTATATTTTGATAATCGAATTTGATCTTGTAAACACTGGTCTCATATTTGCTATTACTATAATATTTACTATAAACTTACTAAATATTTTTGAATCTTATTTTTATTTTTTTTATTCTTTGACATTGTAAACATTTATAAATGTTTATTTTAAACAATAAGACTGATAATGTAATTTGTATACTTGTTTTGTATTCTCTTTTGTTTGTTTGTTTAGTTTACCTTTGTCTACAAATTGTAAAAATTTTTTGACAATAAAGGCATTTATTTATTTATTTATTAATATACCACTGCGAGGCTCTGGATCGCAAGCGACACTATCTATTTGAGAAAACTATGCTCATATATCGATATCTTTTAGTGAACATTTAATTTAAATCTAGTTACTTTACTTAAATATTGTCACTATACCCCTCCCAGACAATTTCTAGATGCGCCACTGCTTACAGATCGCAGTGTTTCCAGCAAAGAACGCTCTCTTAATATCGAGACAGAAAAAAAAGGGGCGCTAGCAAAGCAGTCGTCTCCTGGACGACGCCAAAGACGACACGGTGGTTTCTTTAGAAGCGGCTACTATATTTCCCAATCCTTACCTTAATTCGGATGAGGAATCCACCAAAAGCCGGACGCAATCCAAGCAGCCTCTAGCGGCCGCGTAGTGAAGCGCCAAGGTGGCGTTGCCGCCGTGCGCCTCGCCGGTAAGCGGGTTGCCTTTCTCCAGCGCCGGCATGGCGCCGCCTATGGTGCTGCCCTCTCTCGACTCGGCCTCCCACAACAGCCAGCGCAGAACGTTGAGCCTGCCGTGCCTGCAACCAGTAATACACATTAGCTTCTGCAATCTGCACAACAAATACGTTTAAATTAACTTTTTAAAATTTTCTTTTAACGTATTTGCTGTACAATACTATCAGAGATATAGAGGTAGTGGATTAGAGGCATTTTCGCGCTTAGGTCTGTTATAGGGGTTGATGAGAAAGTAGTAGTAGTTTCCAGTGATAACTCATATTCACGTCCTTGATGAATTTATCGACACTTTTTTAGCATAAAAATATGTAGCTTGATTGTATACTTTAACCCTCAAAATTTCATTCGAATCACTAAAAGTACTTGGAAGAAAATTATAATAATTCGAAAGATTATTAAAACTTTAACACCCTGTAGCTACGAAACAAAGCAGAATCGGACCTATGTTGATTATTTTTACCTGAGGAATACCCTCACGAGAGATGGCACATGTTTTTTGAAACCCCCTGTATACTGTAATAGTATAATTAATATTACGCAATATTTTTTAGATTTCCTAAAAATGGCTGCCAAAAATCTTATAACCACTATTACTTTTCGATCTCCCTTTATAGACCTAAACACGAACATAGGGGCTACCGTGGTTGTATAATCGATTTAAAAAATTATTCTTCAAAACATTAAGTATCTGAAGAACTAGAACATAAAAATCTAGGTACTGTCATAAGAAAAAAACTTTTTTTACCTTATCTCAAATTTAGGATGTCTGTTAATGATGGTATCTCGTCCCGGATAAATTAATACAGTTATTAATTGTTATTTCAGCACAGATTTAATTTAAATGGCGAGATTTATAGGTCACACGGTAAGTATCTCTCGTTAATATTAATTAATATATCGTAAAATAAACAGTGCTCGTCCGCAAAACTATCAAACGCTATGGTCTGATAATTAGAATCAAAGTGTATACGCGAAACGTCGACCATTAAAAAATTCAGACTGCAATCTCGAACGGAGTGAAAACTATATTGGATATGGTGGTACCATAAGAGATATAAAAGCATAATGTGTGGTGAAAATACAGTACGCATCTTTATTGCTCGATGACCACATGTTACCTCTTCTATTGGAGTAGGTACTATGTACCGTTTGAAAACAGTTTATTGGATACAATTTTTTGTTAAAGGCAGTTTTATTGACAACCAGCCCTACAAACATGTGTAAAAGTTGTAACCAAATATACAGGGCGGTCCGAACTGTATTCCGGAAACTTCGGCAGCACATTCTACAGATAAAAAAGTTCGTATAAATGTATGTCCTAAATAGCTTAGTTTCGGAGATACAGGGTGTAGAAGTTTCATTTTTATTTCGATTTTTTCCAAATAATTTCTGAAATAAGATCAATATTTGGATGAAAATTAGTATCCGGGAGTTTCTTGATATGAGAAATTTGATTTTGATGTCAATATGACTCCTATTTGTAGGGGGCGCCACCTACATGTGTTTTAACTGTTTTGGAGAGTCAATCAAATAACTTTTCGTCCGTACCTGTATAAAACTACTAAAAAATGTCGTAAATGTATATTTTTTACTCAGTATGAACGATTACCTGTATTCAAGAAAAATGAAAACAAAACGTTTGTTTATTTACAGTTTGATTTGACTTTTGGAGCCTTTTGTGTTACAGAATTACAGCATCCAGATCCAACACTGATTCACAACAATACACCAAAATACTTGCTGATCGTTTCGCTAACCATATTGTTGATGCTAATATGGAAAAACAGATAGGGCACAGCCATATCAAGGACTCCATCCAAGAATCTAGTTCTAAAAACAGAAAGGAACTACATGTTCTATTTGGGAAAGCAAGGCAAGTATTGAAGAAAAAAATCATCAACAGATTATTAAAAATAAAACTAATTTGATGATGATGTTTTAATGTTATAATGTATCGTTTTTAATTATTATTTTAACTATGTTTATTAAATAATGCTTGGCATTGTGTTTTCACCCTGACATGACGGTTATGATTAAACCGACAGATACATCAGTTACCTCGAAACCCAACAATTTTAATGTTGTTGTATTGTGTCTAAATCCACTTATACTAAAAATAAAAATACCCTACCAAAAAAATAAGAAATATATAAATATTGATGATAAACAGTTCTCCTTTAAAAATTTTCCTGTACAGGGTGAGTCAACGATAGAGTAAAGTCCATTATCTCATTTATTTCAAGGTTTACAAAAAAATGTTTAATATAAAAGTTATAGGGATGGTTAAGATACACATTTTAAAATTATTATAGAGTATACAAGGTGCTTCAAAAAAGTGTGGCGGCTATAACATATGTTTTTTTAAATGCAACTCCCTATTTTTTATTTTATTTTTAGATTCTGCGTAAAATTCCATAACTTTTTTATATATAATGTTATATACCTAAAATTAATAGTTCTTATAATATTTCAATTTATTTAAACAAATGTTAAATTGCAGTGTGGTAAAAAATTGTCAGTGGTGCCATTGTTTCTGAAGTTGCAGTACCAAAATTTGGTAGGAGAGTTTTATAGAGATGAAAAAAAAGATATTTGTAAAGATATTTTAGTTAAATGATACAGGGTGTTCAAAATATATTTATGAATTTCAACTATTTAAAATTAAAAAATCTCAAATTTTTTAAATGGGACACCCTATATATTGTCATTTTTTCTGGTAGATTTGACAACACTCTTCAACTTTTATTAAGTATGTCATATCCCTATTTTTGATAGTTTGCGATTTATTCCCATTTTTTCTATTTTTACCCATATTTTTAATACAATTACCCTATAAAATCATAGTTGCCATGACAAAACAAAACTATTTATTACTTACCTTTAACAAGTAGCTTCATAATTAGTTACAATTGCTGGTATTAGTTAAAATTAATTAACTTTACTCAAATAAACTAAATCGCAGTAGTGAATTTCTTGGTGTATTTCTATATTATGAAAGATGACACTTGGGATTTTTCGTCGGGGCGAATAGCCACAGATTAGGGTAATACTAGATTACCTAATTGCTGAAGACTACTGATATATGAATTTTCTTCCATATACAGTAAAGTTTTTTCTCGTAGTAATTCTGGTTTATAATTCATTTGGTAAAGCCAATATTACTACTGCCGCGAAACCGTCTCATTACACACTGAAGATGTTTTCTAGATAATATACATACATCTATCCTTATAGTAGTTAGCAAAGTACTATATAATATATAGTATTTAACCAAAAAATGTTGTGCATTTAATTAATTTTCTAAGCTTGTGCGTGTATATCAATCTCATTGACTAATTCATTTCAAGAAAATCTGTAACTATTATCTCTACCATTTATACTTATTAGAACAAATTAAACTAAAATTCAAATTTTGTTCTTAACTTGCTTAACAGACATGAAATTGTGATAATTATTACTTTTTGTCATGGCAACTATGATGTTATAGCGCAATTGTATTAAAAATATGGGTAAAAATAGAAAAAAATGGAACAAACCGCAAACTAATAAAAATATGTATATTTTTTATGACATTCTAAATAAAATATATGTAATAAATAGGTATATGACATTCTAAATAAAAGTTGAAGAGTTTGGTAAAATCTATCAGAAAAAATGATAATATATAGGGTGTACCATTTAAAAAAACTGAAATTCCTTAATTTTAAGTAGCTGAATTTCCTAAATATATTATAACATAGGTCTTTTTCTATATCTTTATAAAATACTCCTACCAAATTTTAGTTGTCCAACTTCAGAATCAATGCCAGCATTGACAATTTTTTAACCCACTGCAATCTAACATTTGTGTAAACAAATTTAAATATAACAAAAACTATTAATTTTAGGTATATAACATTATCCATAAAAAAGTTATGGAATTTTACGCAGAATCTAAAAATAAAATAAAAAATAGGGTGTTACGTTTAAAAAAACATGTTATATTCGCCACACTTTTTTGAAGCACCCTGTATACTCTATAATAATTTTAAAATGTGTATCTTTACCATCTCTATAACTTTTATATTTAATATTTTTTTGTAAACCTCGCAACAAATGAGATAATGGACTTTACTCTATCGTTGACTCACCCTGTACAATGGTTATGAAAAAGTCAAAAATATTATATACAGGGTGATCCGAACTGTATTCCGGAAACTTCGTCAGCATATTTTGCAAATAAAAATAAGTAAAAAAGTTCGTATTAATCTACGAGTATGATCTAAAATGCTTAGTGTTTCGGGGATACAGGGTTTAGAAGTTTCATTTTTATTTCGATTTTTTCCAAATAATTTTTGAATTAACGTCAATATTTGGATGAAAATTGGTGTTTGGAAGTTTTTTGACATGAGAAGTTTGATTTTGATGTCAGTATAATAACTCCTACTTATAGAGGGAAAAGTGTAATAACTTTTTGTCCGTACCTGTATAAAACTACTGAGTAAAAAAATTACATTTACCAAGAGACATTTTTTACGTGAAAAATCACGGAAAGTTATTTTTTGACCCAGTAGATTTATACAGGTGCGGACGAAAAGTTATTACTCTTCAAAACAGTTTAAACACATGTAGGTGGTGCCCGCGACAAATAGGAGTCATATTGACATCAAAATCAAATTTCTCATGTGAAAAAACTCCCAGTCACCAATTTTCATCCAAATATTGACGTTACTTCAGAAATTATTTGGAAAAAATCGAAATAAATATGAAATCTCTACACCCTGTATCTTCGAAACTAAGCATTTTAGGACATACATTTATACGAACTTTTCTACTAATTTTTAATCTGCAGAATATGCTGCAGAAGTTTCCGGAATACATAACTTCTACGGACCACCCTGTATAGGCACGTTTTAAAAATATATACCCTATATGCAAAACAGTACGCAATATACCAATAAATAATATAGGATAGAAGATATGTCTGATATAATTCTGAGGTGCGAAAGATAACCATTTATTACGTTCCGTCATAATTTATATTTTCGCTAGTTCTTGAGAAATCTGCTTGGCACTTTTTCCAATAAATCGTACAGATTGAACTGATGTTACAATTTTCTCGATAGTAAATTGAACGTTTGGATTTATAATTATCCGATTCCTCGCAGATACAGGAGCCGTTAAATCACTGCTGCGACAGCAGACGGTGGTACAGAGCCGGACTTAGGGAATTTAGCCCATTTTACACATAAAAGACATAAATTTAATATATCAGACTTGCAGAAAATAATTTATATACCATGTTTATACACGTATAGGCTTGGTGCGTTCTCAGGCGGTGCTGCCTCTATCGGAGAATATCGTAAACAACTAGTATATACAAGTACACGGGTTTAAATAGCGAGTATACCAAAAATGTATTATTTAATAATTATAAAAATGTTAGGAAGTATAATTTGTAAAAACTCTAAAAATAAAAGTACCTATTTTGATATCTTTAGCAGGTCTAAATTGTATTATAATTTATTATTCCAGCTAAAAAACTTTTTAGATGAATTCAACTATAGAGTAGCGAGCATAGTTTTAATCACCGGTTTTGCTAGTGGGACATACAGTATTGGCCAAAAGTGGATGAACCGATACCAATAATTGCGATGAAAATCAGATTTGAGGTGTGAAATATCAAAATTATTTTATGTACCTTTGTATGTTAAAAGGTTAATACATTCTCACCAAAATACTACAAACAAATATAAATTCTTCTGTTAGTCTTATCAGTTATAGATAAGAATTGGCAAATGTTGCTTTTTTGTCTTGGACAAAAGTAGATGAACCAAATATTTTTAAAAGTCGTTAGTTTCATTTGTTCTGCTTTTATGAACAATTGCGATTTAGAAACATTTGAGGCATACCACGTGGAATTAACTTGTCTGCAGATCTTAAGTTGCGAGTAGTGAATGGCTAAGCAATTACGCCTTGGAAAATCACGTTATTATATCACACATTAGAGATATAATGAGAGAGGAGATGTCTCTATAAAAAGAAAACCAGAACGACCTAAAAAAGTTGGTCCCAATGTGATAAAAGCCATAAAACGAATTTCTTCACAAGATCCATTTTTGCCGTCAACGAAGATAAAAGCAAAACTTGAAGAAATGGGCTATCCACCAGCGAGTACAAAGACGATCCGATGTAAATTAGTTGACCAGAAGTTGTTTTCCCGAAGACCCGCCAAGAAACCACTGCTATCAAAAAAAAATTTGGAGGCCCGATTAGCATTTGCCAAGGAACATCAAAACTGGACTGTGACTCAATGGAAAAAAGTTTATTTTAGTGATGAATCAAAGTTTTATTTGATGTCATCAGATGGAATTCAACATGTAGGAAGACCTCCCAACACACGATTGCTACCAAAGTACACGCGACCCACTGTAAAACATGGTGGGGGCTCAATCATGGTATAGGGCTGTTTTTCTGGGTATGGGATGCGGGGCCTCTCCATAAAATTGAGGGCATAATGGATCGGTTTGGCTACAGAGAAATTTTACAAAACCTTTTAGTGCCTTATTTGGAGGAAAAATGCCAGTTGTACACTACTTCCAACATGATAACGACCCGAAACATGCCTCACAATTGGGTAAAAGGTTTTTGGAAGATGAAATTGTGACTGTTCTCAAATGGCCATCGCAATCCCCAGACCTGAATCCAATAGAAAATTTATGGGAAATTTTGGATCAAAACATTGGGACCAAATTCTACAAAAATAAGCAAGAATTATTTGCAGCTTTGGAAGAGTCTTGGAAAAATATCGATTTTTCAATAATGGAAAATCTTCTGGGATCTATGCCTAAGCGATGTCTGAAAGTAATTTAAGTTAATTTATTAGTTTTTGTT